ACTTACGCAAGAATATTGGAGTTTTGTTATGACCTTGTATTGTTTATATATTTGCCGACGGATAATATCAACCATTTCTGCCCTTGTTCAGCCTACATCAGAGACGCGGTCCTGCATCCAGTGCACCGCAAGTTCTTAAATACCGTCAGTCCTTGACCTGTTTATATGGTTTCCCCAGAGAGACTGAAGCAAAAGGAGGTGTACCACTTTCTTGTTTTAAAAAATGTACTAATTTCAGATCCACCTTATTTTACGAAGAAACCGCCTGAAACTGTGACTGTCCGACAAGGCAATCCGATTTCTTTGGTATGCGATGCTGACGGTGAGCCGAAACCAAAAATCGACTGGATTAGGGTATTTCTTTTTTAGTTCAGTATCTTACTTTCACTTCACTTCGCTTTCTATGAAAGTTTCTCCTTTCAGATGGCGGAGGCAGGCTCGTTAGACAGTGATTCCAATGTTCCTGATCCTCTGCCAGCGTTTAAAATTCAGTAGAAGACTACCATAGTCCAGAGACGACTCCTTCAACACGCTTCCTCTTGGTTAATCTTGTCCTTCCCTTGGATCTTCCATCTGTCGGCTGGACAAATAGTAGTTGTCCTAAGTTGCAGCATCCGTTCTAGAGCTATTCGCAACAGTTGCCCAAACCATCGCAGTTGTGACTTCACAGTCGGAAGAAGCAGCGGCTCTACACCAAGGTTATCTCGCATTTCTGTACTCTAGCTTTTTTGAGACCCGTGAGGCTGACGACTCGTATAAGAAAGCCCATTTCAGCAGCTTGTACCCGGCCTCGAATCTTATCAGTCATGGTCCATCACTCACTACCGTATGTAGGCATGGGGATAAAGATCCAAAGATCGGCTTGAGCACCGAGAGCTTAGTTTTCAAACTGAGTTGTTCTTTAGTCACAGCGGATCGGACTAGTTCACGCAAAACGCAACTGGCTACTCTACTTAGCCGGTCGATCACTTCCTCAAATTTTCCATCACTAGTAAATACAGTTACGAGGTACTTGAACTTCTCCACCTGCTGCACTGCCTCTCCGTTAATCTGAAAAGTGTAACGGGCAGGAGAACGAGAAAGCACTAGGCTTTTCGTTTTAGATGCGTTCACACGCATGCCGTCACGTCG